ACTGTATATTCATATTAATAATGCACTCTGGTTCATGCACAGCATCTGGAAACGATTGGATAGGTATGCTGTTACATCATCTCATATTCAGTTGTCTAAAACTGAATGTATCATTTCACTCCATCCCCCATTAGCCTCACTAAATCACATTTCTTTTCTTGGTTCCTTACTCCACTCCCTACTTGCCTTCTCTTTTTTCAGTACTAGGGTTGAACCCAGTTCGAGGATCTACCACTAAGCTATACCCCAGGACTTTTTATTTTATTTTTAGACAGGGTCTCCCTAAATTGCCATGGCTGGCTTCAAACTTACGATCCTCCTGCCTTGGCTTCCAAAGTAGATAGGATTACAGGCCTACATTACCATGCCTGCCTTAAATCACATCGTTTTTTAGCAAATTTTCTATTAGTTATACTGACATTGCCTTAGAAGTGACTTAATCTCAAAGAAAGCTTCAAATATTAACCATTACCTTCACCTGATAAACTTATGAACATTTTCTTTAGAATTATGAACATTTTCTTTAGAATTCTAAATTAAATCTTTTTTTTTTTTTTTTTTTTTTTAAGCACCAGGGATTGAACCCAGGGGTGCTTATCACTGAGCCACATCCCCAGCACTTTTTTTTTCTTTTTTAGACAGAGTCTCCCTAAGTTGCTTAGAACCTTGCTAAATTGCTATGGCTGGCTTGGAATTTGGGTTACTTCTGCCTCAGCCTCCCAAACTGCTGGGATTACAGCCACCATGCCTGCAGCTCTAGAATAAATCTTATTATTTCAAGGATACTGTTCTCTTAAGTTTTGTCTTCAAAAAGTAGATCTTTACAGAACTCAGGAATGATGTAAGTTCAGTCCATACTTCATAGACAATAGAAATTGTCATATATCATAAACGACTACAGTTCAAGTGTAGTTATGGAAACTTTCTGCTTCACTTATTTATGGGTATCAAATGAATCATTTAGTGCTTTTACATTTTAAAAATCAATAATATTTCATGTAATGAGAAAATATTAGAAATACAAAATATAGGTATGAATTAGTAAGATAAAGGGATGACAAGAACAAAATATAAATTTGGGGTCATAGCGCAGTGGTAGAGTGCTTGCCTAATGTGTTCGAGGTCCTGGGTTCAATCCCCAACATTAAAAAAAAAAAAAAAAATTGACATTTTGTCTGCAAAATGTACTTCTAGAAACTTTTCAAGAAAAGAAATATGCCACTGGTTCCGGTGCTTAGGAGGCTGAGGCAAGAGGATTGAAAGTTCAAGGCTAGCTTCATAAACTTAGTGAGGCTCTAAGCAATTTAGTGAGACCCTATCTCAAAAATAGAAAGGGCTGGAGATATTGCTCAGTGGTTAAGTGCCCCTGGGTTCAATCACAAGTACCAAAAATAAATAAATAAATATCTAAACCTAAAAGATGTTCATGAAAAACCTGGTTTACAATTGCAAAGACTAGAAAACCTGCAAATAGCAAACCATTAAATAAATCTTAAACTTATATTTGATACATGCTGATGAAATACTTGAATGAAACATGCCCAATGCTTCCCTGAGGAAGATAAGAACAAGATAAGGTTTTATTTTAATTAATTAACTTGTGGTACTAGGAATAAAACCCACAGCATATTTGCATGCTAGGTAACTGCTTTACTACTGAGCTATATCCCCAGACAGAGGATTCAAAGTTCAAGGCCAGCATGGACAACTCCGCCAGACCCTGTCTTTTCGCGAAACCCTGTCTTTAAGGGATATAGCTTAGTAGTAGAGTATCTTGAGGCCCTGAGTCCAATCCCCCATTCCTGTTCCCCCAAATGAAAAAAAAAAAAAAATCCAATTCATTAATCACATAGCTATCCTGTATCATCTCATCTCAGCATAAATCTAAGAGATCATGAATTAACAACCATACTTGTAATATTCTGGAAACTCCCGGGACTTAAGACTCCCCTCCAGGAATCAGGGACAAAGGCCAATCAAAACCCCCTCATCCCCTAGTGCTAGTGATTGAACCTAGGACCTTGTACATCTTATATGCAGTTAAGGCAAGCTTTCTATCTCTCAGCCCCAAATTCTCCATTACACAATAGATATCTTTTATGAAACAGTAAAAATTACTTGTCTCTTTTAAAAACAAAAAATAAGCAGTTGCACATTTGATGTACTGAAAGTAAACTAAACCATTTTCATGGAATTACTACTGACTTGGAATGATAAACTATGGCTATTGGGAAATACTTTTTAAGAGAGAGAGAGAGAAAGAGAGAGAATTTTTTTTTATTTTATTTTTTTTTTTTTTAGTTTTCGGCGGACACAACATCTTTGTATGTGGTGCTGAGGATTGAACCTGGGCCGCACGCATGCCAGGTGAGCGTGTTACCGCTTGAGCCACATCCCCAGCCCATACTTTTTGTTTTTGTTGTTTGGGTACTTGGCATTGAACTCAGAGGCACTTTACCACTCAGTCACATTCCAGCCCTCCCCAGACTTTTTTTCCTGAGACAGGGTCTTACTAAGTTGCTGAGGCTGGCCTTCAACTTGTGATCCTCCTGCCTCAGTCTCCTGAGTAGTGGGGATTACATGAGTGTGCCAGACTGCCTGGCAGGAAACCTTTTCTTAAAATGAATGAAATGAATCTTTCACGTCAAGAAAACTGACAGTATTTGTTAATGATGAAAAAATTTGAGTTTTTAAGTGAAAATCGGCATTTTTGAAAACTTCTACCACTGAGATTTTGACAAGGTTTCTGAACTGTCAACATTTAAAATGATCTTGTGCAACTCAGTGAACCATTGTGTTCCAAATAACCAATACACTAAATCATACAAAGGTGGGTTTCAAGATAATAGAGTATAAAAACTCATTAAAGCAAAATAAAAAGGGCTGGGGATGTGCCTCATGGTTAAGCACCTGGATTCAATCCTTAAAACCACAAAAGGAAAAATCTGATAGGAGAAAGGACTATTTTTAGTCTTTTTAGAGAGTTATACATAGTTTTACATAGTTATATATAGTCAGATTCACCTTTTTTTTTTTTTTAATTACAGTGCTGGGGATGGAAGCCAGAGTCTTGTGCATGCCAAGCAAGTTCTCTACCATTGAGTCACATCCCCAGTCCCAAGATTCCACTTTTTAAGAACCTTTAAAAACTACTAATTGTCTAGTATAGATGCTATATCAAAAGAAAACTATGTATAACTCTCTAAAAAGACTAAAACTAGTCCTTTCTCCAACCAGGTTTTTTCTTTTGTAGTTTTAAAGATTGAATCCAGGTGCTTAACCATGAGGCCCTTTTTATTTTGAGATAAGATCTTGCTAAATTAAATCCAGGTGCTTAACCATCTCCAGCACTTTATATTTTGAGATAAGATCTTGCTAAATTGCTTAGGCTGACCTCAAACTTGAGATCCTCATGCCTCAGCCTCCAGAGATGCTGGGATTACAGGTGTGCGCCACCATGCCTACTCTTAATTTTTTTGCATTGTCTCACACATGAGCTTTTGGGGGACACCTCATATATAAACCATATAACAAATACTCTATGGAAATAATTAAAAATTATAAATGATAATTTACTCAAGTGTATTGTTTCAAAAGTCAAAATTGGGAAACTATATATAAATGCTAAAAAAAGAAAGTAGGGGAATACGTACCTCAGACAAAAGAATAGTCTGTGACCACTAACAACTGTATTTATATATTTTAAAAGACACAAAATACTACAATTTAGATTGAGTATACCAATGTGATATAAAATTATCCATGATATACTTTAAATTATATATATTTTTTAAAAATCACAGAAGTCTGAAAGTACACAAACCAGAAACTTAACAGAGATCACTTCTAGATGTTGGAATAAGAAGACAGATATGTCTTTATTTCTAACCATGGTTTCTTCCAAATATTCTGTAATAATCACATAGTATTCTCATAACAGAGGAAAAGATTAAAAATATAAAGAAAAAACTGGCATTCCAGTAAAGCAGTAACAGAATTAGGTTCTTAGGTTCTGGTTTCTTTTCAGTTATTTTTAAAAAAATTCAACAGGCTAAAGGGCATTAAAATGGTAAAAAAATCCATTACCAATCCTGCCACCCCCAAACCCCACTTAAGTAATAGAAAAGCCACAAAAAGGAATTGCTAATATTTAAAATAACTTGCTATATCTATCAAAAAAAGACTCTACACATAAAAGATTTTAAAATAAATTTCTCTAAAACATTCCAACTTCTAAAATCAAGCAACTAATAAAATGATGATTTAAAAACTAAAATCATAGACAACCAGCCCCAGAGTAAATAATTAAAAAGCAAAAACTAAAACATCAAGTTATATACTTACAAATTAAAATTTGATATTACATATTATTTTGTTCACTATCCATCTTTTTATTCTACAATATTTATTTATTTGTTTATTTATTATTTCTGCTACTGGGGACTGAACCTTGGGCCTTAGATATATTAAGTACATGGTTTATTAAGGTACAGCCTCAACCCTACAATCTTCATATTAAAATAAACAAGGGTAGTAGTAGTTATGAAGGTTTTAAATTAAAACACTTTAGATGTAAATCACATTGGGTAAAATAAGATTAACTTCCTAAAATTTCAGAGACCAAGTAGACTGTACAGTTTTATTATGTAAAATATACTGTTTTTTTTTTTTTTTTTTTTGGGGGGGGGCGGTACTGGGGATTAAACTCAGGGGCACTCAACCACCAAGCCACATTCCCAACTCTATTTTGTACTTTATTTAGAGACACTTAGCACTTTGCCATTGCTGAGGCTGGCTTTGAACTCATGATCTTCCTCCCTCAGTCTCCCGAGACACTGGGATTACAGGAGTGTGCTACTGCACCTGGCAATATACTGCCTTAATATTAAAGACAAGAGAAATATTTCATACAGAATGTAAATAGATATAAATAAGCATTAAATATAGCTAAAAGTTTATTCACTTGATGTAGAAGGTAAATAATATCGCCTACTGCTTACCAGGATTATGATGAGTTGGAAATCCTCCATTCTGAAATACATCTACTGCCACATTCATTCTACCAGGATTAAAAGGTCTTACTCCAGTCTTGGTCTGTGAAGTTAAAGATGGGGTGTATGTTTGTATATTAACACCAAAATTACTTGACTGAAGTCCTTTAGCGATATCTCCCAAGTTGGTATTCTACAGTGATGTTATATGTGTAATCATTAAGTTCATATCTCGCCCAGCATTACACTGTTTCTAAGGTTGTAATATTAGTAAAATGTATCTCAGAGTCGATTCTGTTGTGATAACACTATAACCCATTCCTGCATTTACCTTACTTCTTGAAAGACTTGAAGTGGAGAAATCCAAATCTTTGGTATTATTTTTAGTTGCAGGAAGTCCCCACTCAGTAAAATTGGAAGAATTTTTCTCCTCTCCTCCATTTGTTTCTATGTCCTCTTCATCATCAATAACAATTGTCTCACTTCCCTTCTGAGAAGCCAAATCTTTTGAAGGCGTCAGGAACATGGAATGATTTCCTTGTGGTTTTTCATGTTTTGATGATGCCAATATAAAATTTCTTTGATCGGCTATTGTAGAAATTGAAGGAGGTTGTACAGATTCAATAAACACAACATCATCATCATCTTCCACTGATGAGTTTCTAGATCTATTTACTAAAGGACTAACTGGATCACCACGTGTATTTTCTATGTCCATGAGTTTAGCTGCCATGGCCGTACTCCCTAACAAAGCAGGAATCTGGTTGGTCAATTCTAATCCTCCCACTGAAAAATCATCCATGCCAAAGAACCTGCAGGAGACAGACAAAAGAAAAAAAAAATCCTATTACCTTTTTTTTGCATTAAAATATATGATTTATTACCTCAACTTTTAGAGAAAAAACAAATACTCATTCCAGTTTTTCCTCTCCTGTTAAAAAAAAAAAATTGGTTAAGAGTTTGATGGAGGGCTGGGGATGTGGCTCAAGCGGTAGCGCGCTCGCCTGGCATGCATGCAGCTTGCGTTCGATCCTCAGCACCACATACAAACAAAGATGTCGTATCCGCCGAAAACTAAAAAATAAATATAAAGAGTTTGATGGAAATTCATTCTATAACTTTAGGTCTTTTAAAAAATATCTCTTGGGCTGGGGTTGTGGCTCAGCGGTAGAGCACTCACCTTGCACGAGACCCTGAGTTGGATCCTCAGGACCACATAAAAATAAATAAATGAAATAAAGGTATTGTGTCCATCTACAATTAAAAAATAAATATCTATAAATAAATAAATAAATGGGACTAGGGATATAGCTCAGTTGGTAGAGTGCTTGCCTAGCATGCACAAGGCCATGAGTTCAATCCCCAGCACTAACAAAAAAAAAAAAAAAAAAAAAAAAAACAAACCATACACATATATATATATATGTGTGTGTGTTTTATATGTGTGTAAGATATTGTGTCCATTTACAATTAAAAGATATTTAAAATAATCTACTCAATTATAGTATTCACTTAAAGCTACTCATCATGACAATAGGTATAATTTAGGTAAACCTAGCTACTAGCTCACAAGTTCTTTTCTTCTCTCTCTTTTTTTGGGGATACTGGAGATTGAACCCAGACTTTCATGCATGCTAGACAGGCACTGTACCACAGCAATATATCCCTAGCCCTAGGCCACAAATTCTTATTTATTTGGTGGTGCTGGGGAACCCAGGGCCTTGTGCATGCAAGGCAAGTGCTCTACCAACTGAGCTACATCCCCAGCCCCCACAAATTCTTAACTATTCTTGTTATACTCAACAAACATTTTTGTGTTACTATTACATAATAAGCTATGATGATGAAGGAAAGAAATCCAGCAGACAATAGTTAAAAGAATCTACAAAAATGAGTAACTGAAGGAGCACAGCTCTTAAGCAGATAGGAAAAGATGTGAAATTAACCATATATAAAAATCATTTACATCTTTTTTTTTTTTAAAGAGAGAGTGATTGTGAGAGAGAATTTTTAATATTTATTTTTTAGTTATCGGCGGACACAACATCTTTGTTTGTATGTGGTGCTGAGGATCGAACCCGAGCCGCACACATGCCAGGCGAGCGCGCTACCGCTTGAGCCACATCCCCAGCCCTCATTTACATCTTAATGACAAGGGGCAAAAATAAGTATAACTGGAACGTATATAAGTATGTATCAATGATAGATAGTAAGTCAAAGTAGCTTATACATTGTTAACCTCAATTTTCTGAGAGTAGAAACTTAAAAGAGTGAAAGCAGGTAGAACTATACAGGTGTTCAATAATTAGGAAAACTCACTTCACAAGGCAGTCATTATTCCATTTAAATGCCTTGTATTGGAATATGCTAACATTTTCATTCTAAAATTTTCTTAATTTTAGTTGATAAGTTACAGTCAATCACGTAATAAGTACTATTTATTCCTAAGAAGTGTTACACCGTTAAATATATTATCTCAGTTAACACTTCCCTTAGTGAGGTAGGAACTATTATTTTTTTTCACAAGCAAACTAAGAATCAGAAGACCTGGCCCAAGTCTTCATGGCTAAAAAAAGTAATCAGGGTTCAAATTCAAGAAATCTAACTGTAAAACCTATTTCATAGCCACGATATTATATGTAATTAATGTAAAAACAATGTTTAAATATTACTTATCTTTTTAAGATGAGCAAATTTTGACTGTGGTGCTGAGGATCGAACCCAATGCCCCTGGCATGCAAGGCAAGCACACTACCGCTGAGCCACAATGCCAGCCCCTTGGTTGGGAGTTTAACTCAAACACAGAACACTTACCTACATGCTTGAGGCCCAGGGTTCAATCCCCAGCACCAACCCCACCCCAGGTATATAAGCACTAGCACTCTCAAACATAAACTAGCATTCTGCTTGTGCACACACAAGATGAGCCAATTCATTACAATAATAAAATCAAAATTAAAATAAAGCAGTTGGGGAGAGTGCCACAGTGCAAGCCTATAATCCCAGCAGCTTGGGAGGCTGAGGCAGGAGGATTCCAAGTTCAAAGCCAGTCTCAGCAATTTAGCGAGATCCTTCTTAAAATAAAAAATAGAAAAACGGGGGCTGGGATGTGGCTCAAGCGGTAGCGCGCTTGCCTGGCATGCGTGTGGCCCGGGTTCGATCCTCAGCACCACATACAAAGATGTTGTGTCCGCCGAAAACTAAAAAATAAATATTAAAATTCTTAAAAAAAAAAAAAAAAAAAATAGAAAAACGGGCTGGGTAGGTGGCTCAGTGGTTAAGTGCTGCTGGGTTCAATCCCTAATATCCCAAAATAAATAAGATAAAGCAAAGAAGTAACTGCTAGGAGTATAGGTCAATGGTAAAGTACCTATGTCAGGTCCTGGGTTTGATGCCCAGCAGTACCAAAAAAAAAAGAGAGAGAGAAAGAGAAGAGACGAACAAATAAACAAATATAAATAATCAGTTTAAAAGTTTGTAAAAGAGGGGTTGGGGTTCTAGCTCAAGTGGTAGAGCGTTTGCCTTGCATGCGTGAAGCACTGGGTTCGATCCTCAGTACCACATAAAAACAAATAAATAAACTAAAGGTATTGTGTCCATCTAAGAATTATTTTTTTTAAAAGTCTGTAAAACAAACAAAAACTGAAATCACAGTTAATATTCATCCATTAAGCTTATTAGGAGGTTAATTTTCAAGGAAAGAGATTATAATTATATTAACTATATAAACTTAAAAAGGTGGTAAATACATCAATTCTGTCTGACCTTTTATATTTGAATAAACTTATCCTTCTGGAAAAGGGCTGTATCAACTTCATGGTATCCTATTTTGGTTGTTAGGCCCTATTTTCCTCTTCTCACAGAACAAAAAACTAGAAAGGGCATTCTTTTTAATTTACTTTGCTAAGATATCATCCACACATCTTAAAATTCACTCACTTATAGTATATAATGTTTGTTTGTTTTTTATGTTCACAGAATTGTGCAACCATCACAGCAGTCAATTTTAGAGAATTCATCACAAGAAAGAAACTCTATAACCATTGTCCTCTTTCTCCCAGCCCCAATCATTTAATCTACTTTGTGTCTCTATATATTTGCCTATTAGAAAGAGCACTCTTTAATCTTCAGCTTGCTACAGTCATACAGCTCTGAAAAACTAAAAATTGATGGTTAGTATTACACCTAGTTTTAAATCAGACTTGGGGTCAGTGTGTGTAGCTCAGCAGTAGAGTGCATGCTTAGCATGCTAAAGGTTCAGTACCACATTTACAACATGTTCTTCTTCAGCATCTCTGTAGACTCATCATTTCCTAACACATTTTATCAATATAAAAAAGTTCAACTCCAAAGCCAGCTTCATATAAGTGAGTATATATGCCATAATCATTCTCATTTAAAATCAGAGCTGAGGATATAGCTCAGTTGGTAGAGTGTTTGCCTAGCATGCACAAGGCTCTGGGTTCAATCTCCAGCACCACCAAAACCAAAACAAAACCCACAGACATTATGTTTTTATTTAAAAAAAAAAAAAAAAAAAAACCCCATAAAATCAGTAATAAAGTACCATGATTCTGAAGGTTACTAACAAATGCAACAAGGTATGAGAAAGAAGAATCAAATGAAACACCACTACAAAGAGCAAGAGAATTATTACAGTGCCTAGGTATAAAATTACTATCTAGAAATCCATAGCCTGATAGGGATTAAGATGGTGGGATGATAATACAACTAGCTTCACTACCTTCCAAAACCCCCCAAACAGTAAATATCCTACCCACAAGGAAATAAAGAACAAGAAACCAAAACAATGAAATCTTACAACCTAAAGAGAAAAGGAATAACTGGTTAATTAAGCTGGTCTGACACAAACTCTTAAATATATGATGGAAAAAAGCTGAGATCATCCTGATTTATACTACAATTATCAAAGGTCAGATGGGCTAGGATTGTGGCTTAGTGGTAGAACACTTGCCTAGCATGTGTGAGACACTGGGTTCGATTCTCAGCACAACATATAAATTTTTAAAAATCTTAAAAAAAAAAAAAAAAGGTCTTAGAAATTTTTTGTATCAGATTTCCCTCGAAAAGTGTGAGAGTAGAAGGCTAAAATAAAAAAGCTGGGAGATAGTCCTAGACACTTCCCTCTCATTATGTTGAGTGACAACCCTTTTCCCCTCTTAGCAAAAGTTCTCAAATTCAATTCTTTGGTGAGAATAGAATGTAAGATATTCAAGGTGCACCAAACACAACAAATGCATATGAAATACTCCCTCTCCCATATGATTCTCAGAGAACTCACATCCAGACTTCTATATTCTAGGAAGTAGGCTCTTCTCTGGAAGACTTCTTTCTCAAGACTCTTCCCTGTGGATTTAAGAACAGTAAAAAGCAAAGATCTAAAAATGACCTATGTAGTTCCCTATCAACTGGCAAAAATTTCATCCTACACCAAAGCTCTAAATTTAAAGTCCTGCCCTCATGCCGCAGTCTGGCTGGGCACAATTCAGGAGCCACTTGTCAAGCAGGAACGAACTTTATTTTTAGCATGCAGGAGGCACCACCCAGCTCTCCAGGAATTCCCGGAAAGCCCAACCGCCACTTCTTGGCACTTCCAGGGAGCACTCTCAACCAGAACTCTTAGGTCATTTTAAAATTTTCCCGCTCCTGAGGCAGATTGGCTGGGTCACGTGGGCGGAGCCAAAAGAGTCCCCCAATGAGCAGCTCCGCGGTCTGAAAGGGCGGGGAAACAGCCCAATGAGCATCACTGCAGAGGAGCCAATCAGCTGAGCGGGTGGAGCCTGGCCCCTCTATCTTGCCTCCTCTGAGTGGTTTGCTCCTTGCTCTGCCACCTGTGGACCAGGCCTGCTTTGGCTTCAGCCCGCGCCCAGAGGAGGCATCCTGGGCAGCGAGGATCCCCAGGCCGCTGTCTCCCACGGGCACCCAGACCGGGCGAGATGATGGCCGCTGGGGCTGCGGAGGGAGGTGGAGACGGGGCGGGCCACCGCGAGGGAAGGCGGGGACATGGAGGAGGACGTGCAGGAGCCTCAGAGTGGCCGCCACCAGGGTGCGGGGCCCTCAACACCCTCACCTCTCACTCTTCCAATCGGCTTTGTAGTCCACAAAAATTTTTTTTTTCTTGGTATTGGGGATTGAACCCAGGAGCACTTAACCACGGAGCCCCACCCCCCCCCCCCCCCCCCGGCTTTTTTTTAAATTAAAAAAATTTTTGTAAGTTGTAGATGAACACAATATTGCCGCAGCCTGGCTGGGCACAAATGCTGCAGTCTGGCTGGGCACACAATCATGAGCCACCACACAGCTTGTAGATTCAAACAGCAACTCTTTATTCCCGAACTCACACCAGCCGTCTACAATCACGTTCTGGGGAAATCCACGTTCTCTGCCCAAATCCACCTCCACTGGGCTTCTCTCTCCCAAAATATACTGTCTGAATCCAGTGAGAACTCAAGGGGAACTCAGGCAGCAGAATACGCCCTATTCCCAGCAGGAATAATCTTAAACCTTAAACCTGGAACCTAAACTGGGAACGCCCTAAACCCGATTATCTTAAACTGGGAACACCCTAATCTGCCCTGGTCCTTGAGCAAGGTCACCTACATTCAATGTCACTGCAAAATGTCAGCAACATGGGGTACGCTGGCAAGGAAATTGTCATACCTACTTGGCTAATGGCTCCCAGCACAAAATCTTTCTTTAAATTTATTTTCAATGTGGTGCCGAGGAACGAACCCAGTGCCTCATGCATGCTAGGCAAGCACTCTACCATTGAGCCACAGCCCCGGCACCCCCCAGCCCCACCACTACTTTTGAGACAGGTCTTGCTAGGTTGCTTAGTGCCTAACTGAACTGCTGAGGATGGCTTTGAACTTGTGATCCTCTTGCCTCAGTTTCTCAAATTGCTGGGATTACACAAATGCACCACCATGTCTGGGTTGTAGTTCACATTTTTTTTTTTTAAGTTACAGGTAGACACAATATCTTTATTTTATTATTATGTGGTAACTAAGGATCAAACCCAGCGCCCCACACACACTGGGTAAGCACTCTACCTCTGAGCCACAACCCCAGCCCCAATAATTCTTAATCATAAGTAGGCTAGCCAAGAATTAGAAGTATTTGGCCTGGGGCTCGGTGGTAGAGAATGTTTGCCTTGCATGTGAGGCACTGGGTTCAATTCTGAGCATCACATATAAATAAATGAAGAAAATAAAGGTCCATCAACATCTAAAAATATATTTTAAAAAATAAGCATTTCAGCCATAAAGAAGAATGAAATTGTGGCAACTGCCAATAAAGACTATCATGGTAAGTTAAACAAGCCAATACCAAAAAACCAAAGGCCAAATGTTCTCTCTGATATGTGGATACTAACATACAAAAAGGGGGTGGGAGGGAAGAATAGAAGTTCACTGGTTTATACAAAGGGGGAGGAAGGGAAAGGAGTGGGGTTGGGAATAGTAAAGACAGTAGAATGAATCAGACATAACTTTCCTATGTTTATATATGAATACATGACCAGTGTAACTCTACATCATGTACACCACAAGAATGGGAAGTAATACTCCATGTATATATGTCAAAATACATTCTATCGTCATGTATAACTAAAAAGAACAACAACAAAAAATAAACACAGAAATGAAACAAAAAAGAATTAAAAGTATTGGGGAAAGCCTCTAATGTGAAATAAGATAAGGAGGAAAAACAAACATGACAGTGCAGAAAAAAGAAAATGAAAAACCACATAACTATCATTAGTATTCTAGATGGATAAGGGATGAGCAAACATCATTAAAAGTTTTACATTTCTAATTTTTAAAAATGCCAGGAATTAAACACTTAGTAACAGAATAAACTCAATAAAAGTATTGAAAGATATAACTGAGGAAATCTCAGGAAAAAAAGAGGACACAAATTCTATATACTTACAAGGTTAGGCAGTAGCTCAGGGGTCCAGCACATGCTTAGCGCCTGCCCATGTGCATACACATATAGAATCGTAGGCTGGGCTTGGTGGCACATGCTTGTAATCCCAACTACTCAGGCTAAGGCAGGAAGGTTCAAGGATAGCCTGGGCAACTAAGCAAGATCCTGCTTCAAAATTTAAAAAAAATAAAGAGGGCTGGGGATGTAGGTAGGTGATAGCATGCTTGCCTAGCATAAGAAGATCTGGGTTCAATTACCAGAAGGAAAAATAAAAAACTATCATTAATTACCATTAACTAAATACATGTGTGTTTATGTATGTGTCCCATAATTTATGGCCCAAGAATTTTACAATCTTCATAACAATCTTAGGAAGATACTTACTTTATTCATTTGTAAAATGTACATAATAAAGGCTCACAGAATAACTGACTTGCCAAAGTAAGAGAGCAGAGATTTGAACCTTACTCTGGCTGGCACAAAAAGCAAATCCTCTGCACAACAGCATGGCGTAAATACCTGATGACTTCTGAGAAAAATAGCCTAAGTGCTAATAACTGAGTCAGTGACATATTACCTGGCTAATCTTTTTCTTTTTAGTTCTCATTAATTTCCTTTTCCTACAAGATCCATCATAGCTCTAGAACCACACCCCACATCTCATCATCTCACCAAACTTCTATGGAATCTCCAATGTTACCACTCTAAGAATCCTGTGAAAATTATCCACTTGAAGTAATTTCTGTTCCTAAAAGCTAGACACAAAACTCTATATCCTGACATTGTGTCCTTAAAGAGGTGTGGTTTAGAAGTACTGTGTAAGAAGTTAAACGTAGGGCTGTGAATATAGGTCAGCTATAAGCACGTGTAAGGAAGGCCTTGGCCTCAATTTTCATGAAAGGAAAAAAAAAAAAAAAAACAGAAAGAAAAAAGAAAGAAGAATAAAACAACTGCAATAAGTTTAACTTTGCAGCCAGGCCCAGGAGTTGGGAGCCTGAGAAAGGAGGCCAAGTTCAAGGACAACCTCAACAATTTAGCAAGGCCCAAACCAACCCACTTAGATGGCCTTAACCAACTCAATGAGATAGTGTCTCAAAATATAAAAAAAGATAAAAAGGGCTGGGGATGTAACTCAGTGGTAAAGCACCCTTGGGTTAAGACTCCAGTAACAAAACAAAACAAAACAATTTTAGTTTGCAGGGAGCAACTCCAGCAAAGAGAAGGCTGTAATACTACTACGAAAGCATGGAGAATAAGTGAATCACAAAGTTCTTTGTGCTGAACAATAGAAAAATGATCAGTGTTGAAAGGATAAAATGCAGCAGACCTAAGACACAACAGAATCCCACATGATAAAAATAGGAGTTTTTTTTTTTTTTTTAAATCATCATTGGTGTTAAAATCATTAACTGAATAGATGACGGAGAATGGAGCATCTGCATTGTATCACAAGGAACACATAGTACTTTCTGGTAACAAAGAAAAAGCCCATTAACCATAATGAAGGGACAAGGCAATCACTGCTAATTCAGTAGTAAATGCTACAACTAGATTATGAATTTCCTGATGTGATGCAGCTGGAGTACTGTCAAGGTATATAAATCATCTGGATGTGGTGGCACAGGTCTGTAATCCCAGCAGCTTGGGAGGCCAAGGCAGGAGGGTTGCAAGTTCAAAGTCAGCCTCAGCAACCTAGCAAGGCCCTAGGCAACTCAGGGAGACCCTGTCACTAAACGGAGGGGGGGGGGGGGGGGGGGCTCAGTGGTTAAGCACCCACGGGTTCAATCTCAGGTACCAAAAAAAACAGAAATATACATAGATATAGATATAAATCAATTTTCCTCAAATATAATACAAGCCATAGTTTTTTCTTTTAATGTTTTATTTTTAATTATTTAAAAATCCAGAAAGAAAAAAAATCTATCCACTGGAAAGGAAGACAAAAATGTTAAATGCATTCTATAAAATGGAACAAACAGTCCTATTTTGGAAGCCCCTGAGAGAGTAGCAGTTGTGTAAATGCCAGCAGTCACTCCAGTGCTTTCACGGAGATTATCCTTGCTTGGCTCTGGGGACAGAGGCCACTCAAAATAATTACTCTTTGCCTTCAAGATAACAGGGAGGTAATCTCACAGGAAGAACAACCTACTATTTCACTAAATATATTAAACAAGAAAATGGGATAAAATGACTCACAATAGAGATATTTTCTGTATTAATTTCTGCCAAAGCTTCACCAAATTGCCCTGAAGGTGATTCCGGGTCCTAGAGTAGAGGAGATAAAAAATGATTTACAACCAAACTGTGTGGTGCCACCAACTCCTCAACATAAGAGGATGTAAAGGGATAGGTCATGAAGTTACTGCGCGGTTCTGCCAGCCCCGCACGTTGTTGAAAAACTCAAAGAAAACCAAAACCACAGCATAGAGACAAAGCTAAACCTGTTTCTTCAAATTACAGAATTCGGGGTGGGGTTGGGTGAGCTGAGCTAAGGGCACCAGGTCAGCTCCTAGGAAGAGAGGGGGCAGGGCAAACGTTGATTCAGCGCCAGCAAGGGATTCGTATTCCCTCCAAAATTTGCCCACCCAGCTTCATCCCTGACACTCGAGAACCAATACGCAGAGGGAAGCTCACGTCACGGTTGAGCAGCATTTGCGGCAAGTAGTGGCCCTGGACCCGAGGTTTGTCTGCGGGCAGTTGGCGACTAGCTCCAGGTCCGCCATTAGGAACTCGCCCAAGAAGCCTCGCAGCGCCGGGCAAGATAAGAGCTAAGAAGGGGAGCCGGTGGGACAAAAGCAACAATCTTAGTCCCGAAAAAACCTGGGGGACGTAGGCTCCAACGACAGGTTAGGAGGGCAGACTCGAGAGCAGCAAAGCCGGCCGGGGTTCCCCCGCAGAAAATAGAGAAAAATACCCCGAGACCTCCCAGCCCACCCCTGGCTACCGCCTCACTAGGCTCGCTCGGCCGCCACCACACTCACGCAGCCCTCGGGCCGCACCTAAGGTGCCTGTGACAGGCGCGCCGCCCCAAAGAGCCACTGAGGCCCCGACGCGGTAGCGGCTACGGAGGCCGCACCAAAGGGTATCAAGCCCGAAACGGTGGGACGCAGGAGACTGCCCTCACCCTTCTCCGCCTCCCCAGTAGCCTCCGCCTCCTCCTTAGGAGGCTGCGTCGCTTCTAGCCACCCCCACTCTCCACGACCCTGAAAGCGGGGATAAGCCTCACGGGTTCTGGATATGGCTCCGCGGAATGAAATCTCCCCTCCCCTGACCCACCCCCTTCGGCAACACGTACTTACAGATTCCAGTTGCGGCTTTAGCGCTGGTAATGAGAAGGCGGAGGCGCAATGCGAACGAACCCCCATATGCTCCGCCCTCTGCATGCTCATTGGCTGCGGTCGGAGACAAGCCTGGGTGCGTCCGGCACGCTCATTGGTTACACTGGCCTTCCTTCAGGACACCCCTCGTGGGGAGGTCCGAACGACTGTCCCTCAGTCGCGGGCCACACCTCCTGCTCTGCCGTTCCATTCCCCCACCGATGGTCTTCCGCGGCTCCCGCCGCGTCCCTTCTCCTAGCCCCTCCCGCCTCGCCCCGCCCCCACCCACCTGGTCCGGCTGGGTTCAGGAGCCCGGGAATCCGCTGCCTGGCTCCGTCGCTGGGCCTCTCTCAGAGCCGGGACAGCCGGGAGCAATTGAAGCGGGGTCACTTGTCCTCGCGCCCGGGCTCCAGGCCGTTTCCTCCGCTCGAGGAGAGATGCGGCCTCGATGCCCCAACGTTCTCTCCAGTCCCTGGAAGGCTCCAGCGAGGGAGGACGCCCGGGATGACTAGAACGAGGATGAGGGGGAGGTCGGGAACGCAGCTTAAGTAGGTACCTGAGCATCGAGGAGGCCCCTCCTCCCTCGCCTCCCCCGGTGGGGAACAGTCCCCTCACTTCCCGTCCTGGTTGCAGCAAGAGGAGACGACGTCCTCCATTTTGTTGGAACTGCTGGGGGAACCTGGGACCCATTCAGAACCGAACCCCATGGGACTGGGAAACTTGTCCACGAGCAGCCCCGACTGGACTCTGGTTCGGCGGAGGGAACGGCTACCACTTTCGTAGTACGAGTCCGTGTGGCCATGATGGGCCATCATGACCAGGGGGAGACCCGGACGCCGCTGCCCACTTCCATCAGCCAAGATGGAGAGAGCTGTGGGCTCCCCCGAGCAGCGCTTCTTCCCGCCAGAAGGACCAACCTGTCCAGGGGCATCTTTCAGTGTCGCCGGCGCGGAAACCTGGGCGTTGGCCCTCCCACAACTCCACCATTGCCTAGTCCTCAAGGATTGATGGAGGCCGCACTCAAACGCCTGCTCCATCGCTTCTCCGCCCACTGAGACCCCTGCGGAGAGACCCGGGCCACCTCCACGAGGGTCCAATTGTTCCTCGTCTACGCCTAACGCGAAGACGTCATGTTGTGGATTTCCAAGACTCCACGTAAAGATGAAAATGATGACTCTTGCCCTGGCGGTTCTTGGTGGGACTACGACTGACGGCGTTAGGTTGGAATGAATTTGGTGAAATACCAAGTTGCTGCGTAATGTCTGGAAATAGGATTAAAAAAAAAACAAACATTGTTTCCCCTCTTATTATCCCCTCCAAGGTATGATAAAGACTCAGGCTTATTCAATGACAGTAATACACAAACCACTTAATACATGCTTGTTCATGGATTATAGCAAGAGTGCAGGTTAAGCCTTTGTATATTGCTTGATGCTGTATTTCTTGGATGTTCTCGGGAGGATGTCAGCATTTTTTTTAAGTCTTCAATTAATGGTTGGAAAAATGTACTAAATGTGTGTATTAAAGGAAAGGGCAAAATTTTAATAACTGTTAAGCATTTGTAGGTACAAAGCCAGATACACAATGAATTTACAGAGAAAGACTCCATAAAGTCTGCCAGAGATTTTAAATCTTAGGCTTAGTAGCCACTAGTCATGTATTTTCTGAAGTCCTATTTTTGTTGAAGTTCTCTATTCAAAGATTAAAAGTTGATAAAATTTGTTTTCCCTGATAATGACAAGTTTAGAAATGGCAACTGTCACCTCAGCATGCTGCCCTTTCAGGAGGTTGCCTTAGTTTTTCTAGTGCTATAACGGAATATTACAGTTTCAGATGGTGAATTATAAACTATAGAAGTTCATTTAGCTAATGGTTCTGTAGACTGTGAAGTCCAAGATCATGGTGCTCCATCTGATGAAGGTTTTATGACTATCACAACTGCTTAAGAAATGACAGGAACAAAAGCACACACCAGCTGGGCATGGTGGCCCGCATCTGTAATACCAGTGACTGGGAGGCTGAGGCAAGAAGATTGCAAGTTCAAGGCCAGCCTGGGTAACTAGTGAGACCCTTTCTCAAAATAAAAATCATTGGGGGGATGGGGTTGTGGCTCAGTTGTCGAGTGCTTCCTGGCATGTGTGAAGCACTGGGTTTGATCTTCAACACCACATAAAAGTAAATAAAATAAAGCTATTATGTCCATCTATGACTAAAAATATTTTTTTAAAAAGAGTTGGGGATGTAGCTCAGTGGTAGAGTTCCATCCCCAGTACCACAAAAAATAAATAAATAAATTTAATATCATAAAACTATTTTCCACTCTGGTACCTGAACTGACCTGAGCAAACTAAAGAGACAATATGAACTGTGGAATGAGATGGACATCATTATCCTAAGTACATGTATGAAGACACAATTGGCGTGACTCTACTTTGTGTACAACCAGAAATAGGAAAAATTGTGCTCTATATGTGTAATATGAATTGTAATGTATTCTGCTGTCATACATAACAAATTAAAATTAAAAAAAAAAAAGGATGTATGTGAACTACATTTTGCTTTCCAGAGAAGACTGGCATTTACATTCTATTTGTGTTAATTATCATGCTGTCGTAGTCTCTTATGTTCTCTCAGCCCCACTTCCTATTTCATAATATAGAATAATAAAGGATGTTGGAAAGTCAAAATTGGAAAACATTTGTGTCTGTGTTAAATAGCAACAAGAACACATGCAATTTGTTATACATCTCTTGATAATCTCAAGCTAATGTGAAGGCAGAGTAACACTGTGACCAATAGCACACAATCTTTGGAGTCAGGTGGTCTGCCTTTGAATCTTTATTACCATCTAGGGAGTTTCCCAAATTAATTTCTATGAAAAATACAATGTGTATTAAATGATAAGCAGTAAAACATGGTATTTGAAGTTAACAAGATTATTATTATTATTTGGCAAACCACATATTGCTTTATTCACTGTTTCTCTGAATTACAAAGTGTCAGCCCTGGGCTAAGATCCCTAGAGGGCACAGAGGTAACTGACAGCCTCAGTCCTCCAGGGTAGAGAGGAAGCAATAGAAAGAGGTGATGCTCTGTTGCTTCTCCCAAGGTAAGCCCCTACATCCTTGAATTAGGTCCAAAGTGTGTGGAAGCAGGTTGTCATGCTAAGGAATGGACTCAGGCAGAAGTGTTCTTCCCACTTGGTGGCCCCCTGAATGTGATTGCTGATTAGGGAGCCAGATGTAAGATGATAACCTATGTTTTATAGGACTCCTTTTTCCTGGTAGTGGCAGTGAAGTGTCTTGGTTTTGCCCCACTCTGCTGTATAACCTTCCCTTCTATGGGCCTCTGTCTCCAGTTCTATAACCCCATGGGGCTGGACTAGATGATCTCTCTGAGCCTTCCAAATTTAATAGTTCAAGACTTCTAACAAATTTATTATTAAAACTCAATAATATGGTGCTGGGGTTGTGGTTCAGTGGTAGAGCACTTGCCTAGCATGTGTGAGGCACTGGGTTGGATCCTTGGCACCACATAAAAAATAAATAAAGGTACTGTGTCCATCTATAACTAAATAAAAAAAAAACTCAATAATAACTGCAATAATTGTTTAGAACCTAGAACAACTAAAGTTATTTGGCCGTGGGGACAAGTATTTTACCACTGACATTGCTTAAAATTGCTCCAACATAATGATAATAAAAAGCTCACAAACTCTTAGCATATTTTATCAGTCTTTAAATTCCCTGCAAACAATGCAACTCCTAATTAACAGCTTCCACATCATTTGTTCTTGGCATTATATATTTATATACATATATGCACATCTATGTATATAAACATAAACATAGATTTTTAAAATTAAATTTAATTTTTTAAAATACACGACAGCAGTGGAAAGCATTACAATTCTTATTACACATATAGTGCACAATTTTTCATATCTGTATATAAAGTATATTCACACCAATTTATGCCTTTATACACGTACTTTGGTTTTTTTGCATTACAATTCTTTATTTTTTTTTAATATTTATTTCTTTAGTTTTTCGGTGGACACAACATCGTTGTTTGTATGTGGTGCTGAGGATCGAACCCGGGCCGCACGCATGCCAGGCAAGCGCGCCACCGCCTGAGCCACATCCCCAGCCCTACAATTCTTAATACACATATATACCACAATTTTTCATATCTCTGTATATAAAATATGTTGACACCCAATTCAAGTCTTCATACATGTACTTTGTATAATGTTGTCCATCACATTCCACCATCCTTGCTAATCCCCTGCCCCCTCCCTTTCCCTCTCATCCCTCTTCCCTATCTAGAATTCATCTATTCCTCTCCTTCCCTACCGTACTATGAGTCAGCCTCCTAATATCAGAGAAAACATTCGGCATTTGTTTTTTTGGGATTGGCTGACTTCACTTAGCATTATCTTCTCCAGTGCTATCCATTTACCTGCAAATGCCATGATTTTACCTGCAAATGCCATGATTTTCATAGATTTAAATATGGTAATGTGTACATATAAAATAAAGGACTGTGAGAGGCATATTACAATCAACCAAGCAAGAAGATTAAACTCTCATCAAATACATGTA